TTTACCAAAATTGATAAAACTCGTAAGTCATTTATAATAATTATGTAATTCTAAAATACGTGATCGTGATTAAATTAACTTTTTCACACAACCGGCCCTTACTGAAATTAATAACAGATCAAAATTTTGTGGGCTCAATTTTGAAAACTTTACTGGCGCTATTTTTAAAAACAATTTTAGCCGGACAAAATGAATGGGAAATTGCTAGAGGTTAGAATTGACAAGCATGCACAGCCGTCCAAGGCAACAATTTTCATTCCTACATATTCCTTATTAACTAGAAAATACATGCATGCAGAAACCCCTCGCCTTGCTGACAAAACCATTGGGATCTTCCGAACATGAAATATTTAAAGTATAGTTGTCATGGTAACTGAAAAATCGCCTAAAAATATCACTCTTAATCAAGCAAGCTTATTTTTCACCCTGCTCGGTTTCCTTTGTTCTTATCAAGGAATATATTCAATATTCCCCTCTAATGAATTTCCGTTTAATATTCCCCTCTAATATTCACCTGCAATTAATAATCCCCTCTAATATTCACCTGCAATGTCTTTGCATCACAAAAAAATGAGAAAAAAAACAACATAACGAAGGCAATATGACATTAAGAATTATTTCTATTCTTACTCATTAATGCGACCTCGCAGTGTGAAAAATAAGTACTTTATTTTGAGGCACCTCGGGGATATGTGTTTATTCACCTCGGCGCTACGCGCCTCGGTGAATAAATCACATATCCCCTCGTCGCCTCAAAATAACCTATACATATTTTCGCTGCAAATTATTTCCTTTGAATGCATTCACGAGAGTAAATCCCGGTGAAGCGAAGATGGAGTTGATAATGTATTTTAGTTTAATAACGGATGAGCGTATATATGACCGGCAACTTCGAAAAAGGAGAGCTATCGCATTAAATGTCTATCAATGTTTGCGGGCGCGTCACTGTGAGGAACTTGTCACTGATCTCAAAAATAGGGAGAGAGTTAAATTGATTTGAAAAACATCAATGAGAAATCATAATATTTTGGATGATAACTTATTTAATATTTCTACTATTTATTCTACAATTTAAAAGGCTATCGTTTGGACATTAAAATGATCAAACATGTTCACGCAGAGTCTGGAATGGATTGCATCATACAATGTGTGGTGTTCCCAGACAAGTCATGCAGATCTGCTAACTACAACAAAACCGCAACTGCTGGAGGAGAAAAAAATTGCGAGTTACTCAAAACTGTTCATTCAGAAGAAGATGCAGGGAGTTTAAAGAGAAATGAAACTTTTGATCACTACATAATACTTTCACCCGAAAGAGTAAGTACAATACTGTCAGAATATGTTTATATTGTTTATAAACAGAGTAGTTCAAAACTGGACCAATTTTCAAATCGTTATGGCTTTATAATAATATGAGTCGAATTGATGTTTATCTTTTTGTTTGTATTTTCCAACTATGTATTTGTTTATGTTTATGTTTATGTTTATGGTAATCATGGGTAAGCACGACTGCATGTATATGAAGACATTTTATTTAAAAAATTCAGCAGACCTCCCCATAAACCACGATGACAAGCAACGTAGACCGGTGCTGTGTTACATGGAGAGTGGGTTGGGGGAGATTGAGCACTTGAGCAATATTTAAGTAAAATACATTGTTTAGTTTTTTCAACTAATATATATTTATTCCCAGGAAACTCAACATGCTGATTCGTCAAGCACCACTCTACCAGTAACAGAAACAATATCAACAAGTAGGTATCAGTTAAGAACTTGAGAAGCCAACCATGTGCTGTAACCAACCGAGAAACCATGCACTACATCCGAATGGATCAAATCGGAAATAGAATTGTGACTAATTTATTAGTCATAACCAGGAGCAGTTGCCAAATATGCAACCATAGAGCCAATAGATGCAGCCGAAGCTGTTTGCTCCTGCATGGTTACAGGTCTAACAAATTTTTAAAAATTTCACTCAAATTTATGACTTACAAACTCCTTTTATGTTTTTTTAAAAAAATATCTCTTCTTAATAATTATTGTAGTAACATCTACACCGAAAGAAACACACAGTTCGACAATAAGTATGTGCACAAAGAATCAATGTCAACTTCTATATTCCGTGTTTGCGATTACTAATTGTTATTCTTTTAAATAACTTTTCTCAAAAATATATAGCAACATCTATACTGGAAAAGACAGATTTAACAGCGGAACCTACAACCCAGCGGGCAAAATGACGTTTATCCAACGTTGAATCAACGTCGGAAATGACCTTCCAGACGTTGGATAGGCGTTGAAAAAGGGTTGACTATGCAAATTGGATCGACGTTACTGTTTCGACGTTGAAACAACGTTGAAATTAGGTTGCCAATCTCGTCAATCATTATTCAACGTTGAATCCACGTTAAAACAACGTTGAGATTGGTTCACAAATCGACGTCGTACATTTAACCATGAATGAAAGTTAATTCAACGTCTGTTGGCTGCTGTTGAACAAATGTTTGTAAAACAACGTCAGAGCAACGTAGATATTAGGTTGTCGACGTCGCAACCTTTTTTCTACCACAGTTCAACGTTGAAACAACGTCTAGTGCCCGGTGGGAAGTATGTTCACAATGAATCAATGTAAATATTCAATATTCATCTTTTATCCTAAGAATTAAATTTTTAAACTGAAACATCTAAACTGAAAAAGAGAACTAGTTTAACAACTCAACCAACACGTATTGGCAGAATGAATCAATGCAGAACTTCAGTAATCATTCTTTCATGCTAAGAATATTAAGTGTTACGATTTTAATTACTACCCATCTCTTTATAGCAACATCTAAACTGAAAACGAGAGCTTGTTTAACAACTCCACCAACAAGTATTTGCAGAACGAGTCAATGCAAAACGTCTGTGTTCATCCTAGTTTTATCCGAAGAATAGTACATGTTATGATTCTAAATATTACATATATCTCATTACAGCAACACAGAAAAAGACTGGTGGTTTAACAATTCAACCAACAAGTATGTGCAGAATGAGTCAATGCAGAACTTCAGTGTTCATCCTTTCATCTTAAGAATATTAAATTGTTATGGTTTTAAATATTACTCCTCATCCTAAGAATATTAATATTTATAGTTTTAAACATTATTGTTACCTTCAATTATAGCAAATTCTACAGCGAATGATAGTAGACCTAGGTCTACAACATCGAAAACTCAACCAACAGATACGTTCACAAAGAATCAAGGTAAAATTCCATTTTCATCTTTATATGTTTTTAAGAATATATTACAGTTAGCTTTCAATTAAGTCTTCTATAGAATTATATTGCAAAATCTGGACCAACCATGCAAGAGAGAAACCTGTAGTTACCGCTTGCTTAATATAATGTATTTTCTCGTTTATAGATAATTCTACACCGAGAAGAACAAATCCTTCCACAACTCAGCCGCAGCTAAAAAGTAAGTTGACAATGTAAAACAACTGTCCAAAACATAATGTCCGTGTATAGTTAACTTGCCTAATGTGTTCATCTTTATAGATAAATCCACACTGCAGAGAAAAACAGATGTAACAACAACTCAAGCGATAAGTTAATTTACAAAGAATTAAAATTGTTCCACAAAGTAGTTAACTGTTTTAAAATTAATGGTTAAATGCTTGTAGTTAACTCGGCGCGCGATCTTTCTCATAGCAAAATCCGATATACCAAAAATGAATGTTGCTACAACAACCCAACCAACAAGTAAGTTCACAATTAAGCAACGTAAATTAAAATCTTGTAAGGGACTATATGTCCTATTATCTAGTCTACCCGCCTTGCATGTTTAAGGTAAATTTGTAAATAAAAGTTTTCCTAGTTGAAAAATTAGTAAAGTTTTCAGTTAGAATTGATGTTAGTAGTATTATAGGGGCCGATCGATCCGGATTTTTGGGGCGGCGCGGGGCGGCGCATCATTAAAAATGCAGGGCGGCGCATCATCATTAGCATACGTCATAATTACATACAGTGACGTCACGCGGGCAGGATCAGGCAAGTAATGACGTCACTCGGGCGAGCATGGACAAGATCTGCTGAAACTTGCTGAGTAGGCATTTTTTAGCGTCCCTACTCGTGTGCGACACAATAGTTAGGGCTATATACAAGAGAATATGTAGTTGTCTGGAGTTTTATAAGTACAGCTCTAGCATTTTGCTGTTATTGTCTAGTGATTTCTTTAATTTAGCTCCTAGAGGAGTAAAAAATCTGATACTATACGAAATAGCATTAGTGTTATATATCTAAAACTTATATATTCGGGTATACAGCTATATGTCTTGTTGTTAAGTAATATATAAATATTATCAAGCGTCAAAACGCTGAGAAATAGTATGAGGTAAGAGTTATTATGTATCTACAATTAAACTAATATTTAAATCGCGATCTGTCATATGAGGGTTGTTTACCATTTACATGTAAATCCATCCGGTTTGAAATTGTGCTAATGGTAAGCAAAATTTCGGATAGAAAATCCCATTCGGATTATTCGCTTTCCATTTAATAATTTCAATTGTTAAATCGCGAAGAGCCTGGAACTGGTGAAAAAATTTGAAAAATGTAAATGGAACAACATTTACCGGTTGAAACTTTCCAATCGGTAAGAGAGGACAACCTTTTCAAACAAACCGTTTATTCCGGAAAAGTTCCGGTTGGGCCGTCGAAATATGCTTGTTCCATTTACTTTCCGCATGGAATCACCGGAATTTCCATGTAAATGGTAAACAACCGAGGTCTATATACGAGAGAATATGTTGCTGTCTAGGGTTATATAAACACATGGAAATTAGAGGTTATGATATATAATTGTCAAGCAATTTCTATATTTTATTGCTAGTTTTTTAAAGTACTAAAACTCGGATAAGGTTAATAAATTTAAGCTATATTAAAGCACCCCGGTTGCTATGTGTTGTTAGGGTGACAGTAATTAAAGGATTAACTTTTATCAGAGATTTGCATTTTTCTACTGTGTGGATAAATACGGGTAGATTAGGATATTCATTGCGCGGGCGTCGCGGGTTATCCGTGCGGGAAGAGAGAAAGCGATTTAGACAAGACAGGAGCGCTTTGCAGCCAAAAGTTTACACAAGAATTCAGTCTTAAAATACATTTATTTCTTCGAGACGTTTACTAAGTTAATGTGGTCTACTTCTTAGAGCATAATGTGTTTGATTTTATTTAAATTACGCAGAACAATTTAAATGTTTTTTGTAATAAGAGTCGTTTGGTTTAATTGTTCATTCGCCATGGTTTCTTTAACAAAAGTTGGGACCGTTGGCTCGTCTTCGTGCAGATTCACCCACTTCATACGACCCGATTGGTTCATTATTTTGACAGCCAATAATTTTCTCCGCCAATGTAGACACCCGGATGGCTGGGATTAAAAATATTGCGCGATGACTTATACATCTGTGTGATAACATATCCTTCGGGAATGTTACGGACCACCTGTGCTTCCTTGGTGTGTAGTTTTGCCATTCGTAGATAGTTGCATCCGACCAGGTAATATGCCTCTGATGTTTAGGTTGTTTCCTTCTATAGGTTTGGTTTCGACCGGTGTGGGCTCGGTACTTGTACTGTTCACTTTAGTTTGGGTTGCTTATCTGCTGGTGTATCAGGCTTGTTATCCACCAACAAGTATCCAAACGGTTTTTCAGTCTCTTTGTAATAGGCGTTCATAAAGTGGACTCTTTTCTTGTCAAATATTCGTTCTCCAACAATTCCAATTTGTTTCATATCACTAGGACTTCGGAAGAGAGCAAGATATTGGGCATTTCGGCTAATATCTGTATTGAATTTCCCCTTAGGAAACATGTTCTGAAGGATAACACTAGCGTTTCTATGACGTCCCTGGGTAAATAATCGAGCTACCACAGGACTGTTTGTCGTTTGGGCCATCAAATCGTCCAGTATGATTACGTTGTTGTACCGGGTATTAATCTCCCTCAGATCCTCGGACAACTCGGGCAAACCTCTTTGAAATCGGATGCTTTTCCGAAGGGACTTTTTTAACTCATCGTGACGATCTTGCCATTGATTGTAGCACCAATGAATCCGAATACTTCTCTGCTCCTCGTACACGATACGATTGTTTTCCAAAATTTGTTGGACAAAATAAGTTTTCCCACTTTGACTCGGACCCACGAGCATTAGCGAAAATTTATAGCGGAAGTTGAATTCTGGATAGGGTTTGGTGGTTAAATATGTTGTAACTTTCGGTACGGTTTTTGTTGGTTTTAGTACAGACATTGTTTTCTTTCGGACACATTTAATTTCTTTTAGTATATGTGCCGGTCCTATGGGCAGCAAACTTGAGTTGTGGCTATGCGGTGCTGAGAACCTCGCTCTTCCTAACCACTTTTTCCTTTGATCTCCGTATAAGTTATGTACTTGGCGCAAATGATGACTTATATATAGAAGACAAGGCTTGTTACAGAGAGGACAGTCTCTTTTGTGCTTATAGGGCATGTTGACACTTTGAAAGTTCAATCATAAATGATCGAGAATAAATGGTTTGAAAACATTTATATATATATATTTTTTTTTTTTTTTTTTACGGCGACATGTGGGTGTGATGTAGGGTCGATGTAGGGCCGATATGCGATCGATGTGGGGTCGATGTGGGGTCGATGTAGGGTCGATGATGTAGGGCTAGGAGTATAGGAGCTAGGAGCCATCCAACAAATATTGGAAAACAATCCCACACCGGTCGAAACCAAACCTAGAAGGAAACAACCTAAACATCAGAGGCATATTACCTGGTCGGATGCAACTATCTACGAATGGCAAAACTACACCAAGGAAGCACAGGTGGTCCGTAACATTCCCGAAGGATATGTTATCACACAGATGTATAAGTCATCGCGCAATATTTTTAATCCTAGCCATCCGGGTGCCTACATCGGCGGAAAAAATTATTGGCTGTCAAATTATTGACGTCATTGTATGTAATTATGACGTATGCTAATGATGATGCGCCGCCCTGCATTTTTAATGATGCGCCGTCCCGCGCCGCCCCGCGCCGCCCCAAAAATCCGGATCGATCGGCCCCTATATTACTACTGATGTTGTTCATACTATCACCACCTACCCTCAGAACATCATTGATTAGACCAAAATATGGCTGCTTATAAAATATGTAATTCTGATAAATAGTTCACGTAAAAGGAATTAATAATGACTGTGCAGGAGGTTGTATATCTGATACAATAAATATCCAATAAACTGCAAAATGTACAAAATGCAGCAGCACGGGTTATAGCTTGCTTTCGAAAGTATGACCACATCAGCCCAACTTTAAGAAACCTACATTGGTTGCCAGTTCAAGAAAGAATAGTTTTTAAGATTAATTTAATGTGTTTCAAAATAGTAAATAACATTGCTCCTAAATATTTACAAGAACTTGTATGCCGTTATGAACCAACAAGAATACTTCGCTCATCAGCAGATAAATGGCGCCTTACAGAACAACCATACAAACTTAAAACCTATGGATATCGGGCACTTTCGGTAACTGCCCCAAAACTTTGGAACACACTGCCAGTGGAAATTAGATCTATAACTGACATTAATACTTTTAAATCTAAATTAAAGACTCATCTTTTTAAATTAGCTTATGACATATGACTTACAGTTATAAGAGATTTTATTTTAATATTTTTACTAGTTTTTTAGATATACATATTTAGTATAAACCCACTAGTAGGCTATCACATATCGTGCCTTCTGATTGGCTACGCTACTAGTAGGCTATTAGTGATGCCTACTAATAGAAAATTCAAAATGGCGGAAAATTCGCGTTTTGCACTTTTGCCGAAGTGTCTGATGATTTTTTGGACGACTTGTTGAACAATTCTGTACTAAAAAAAAACGAAAAAAGCGACAAAAATATGGAATGGCAATTTTTAAGGGTAAGAAAATAGACAAAATAACATACACTCAATGAAATTTTAAAATTAAAACTGAATTTTGTGAAACATTTTACGCGAACAAAAACTAAAATATTTGTTTACCTTTAATGGTTTTATAATGTTTTTTGTGTATTTTTATATTGTGTTTGCAGCCTAGTTTTAAATTAATGTTAAAGTTTATACTAAAACAATTAGACAAGTCGGCCTCGTTGTCTATGAGCAAATAGTCAACTCGGCTTCGCCTCGTTGACTATTCGCTCATAGACAACTCGGCCTCGTTGTCTAATTGTTAAATAGACATATGGGACTTATAAGACGAATTTTAATATTATAGCTTATACATATATAATAGATGTAAACTACTGTATACTTAATTTTACAATGTAAAGCGCATAGAACAGCAATGTATATGCGCTATAGAAATGTTATTATTATTATTTATTATACAAATTCAGCAGATTTACACACACATTAACTTAAAAACTCATTAGCAATTCATGAGGAAAATACAAAAAGAAATCACTGCCGTGTCGGTGGTTTTATATGTAATAAAAAATCATGTTCGTTGACATAAACTTTAGCTTTGATTTTCTCGGCTTAGACAACGTTTTTTTAAAAATTACTTCGCCAATGAACTCATCAAATAGGTCGTTTTTAATTTTTTTTTATATCTGATAATGCACTCCTGCTCGTGTTTTAAATACTTAAGTATTTCATGCGAATTGAATAAGTTCACATTAAATAAAACGTAAAAGTTGACCAAAAAAACAAGAACAACGAAAACATTTTTGAAACTATTTGTATATTTCAGCTTCCGTAACAGTCGTAAACATGTAAACACAGCATTTACACGCTTTTTGAAATAATATTATTGGCTGATAAATTAGCAAAAGTTACTCTTGTTTTGCCGGCCAGAGTAATCTGAATGCGTAATTAGCCCACGTACTGAATAATTTATGCACAATACATGATAACTTTATATATATGTTCATAAGAACTTATTTAAAATGTTTTAGCAGTTCAACATCTGTCATCATCTTGCAAAGAACTACTGAAGACGAACAGGTAGAGCAGAGTATTAGTACTGTAACTGTAAGAATCCATTCTATTTTCTTCAGACGATATGCCGGGACATGATTACTTGCAAACATCGAGTTTATTACTTCCACCTGGAGGTTACGTATTCGTCTGTACTTTTAAGATGGTTCAACTATATGCTCAGCATATGATGAAGATTATGAGCACAAGTCTTGCATGAAGTCTGCAGTTAACAAGTAATCTAAATCTGAACAAAAAAGCCAATGCTCCAGGCCACTTATTTCGCCATTTCTGAAAATACTGAACGGTATCATGGCCAGAAATGGAGTCCAACATGGTCGCCATGCATGCGCATTTTGACGCAAAATAAAAATTCAAAATGGCGTCTTTTTATATAATTTGAATGGGAATAATATAAAATTGGGATTATTGATAACTTACGGTTGAGAAATTCAAAATGTGCACGTCTAAAACTTCATAGATTCTGCCAAACTTTTATCCGTAAAAAATTGGTACATCTCGAGTTGTCTATAAGTATGTTCCCGAGCAATCAATATCTTTGCCTAGACTCTGTATAGGAAAATATGTGATTTAGACATAATTTTATTATGTATTTTTCAGGTCCAATTTCAACTCGTTCTTTGCAGATATCGTCAAATGTGCACGTCTGAATTGTTTCGTACAGTATTCCTCTGTATTATTGTCATTTGTACAGTGTGAAGCCTAAAAGTGCACACTAGTACGTTCCCCAAAGCGATGAATTGCATGTATTTTGTAGAGAGGCG